TTCAGCAGGCTGAGGGCACATGGGAAGCCCAGGTTTAATTCCCAGTCCACCCTAAAAGCTGGGCATTCTCAGCTATTCAGAGGGCCAAGGCAGGAGGATCGTAACACAGTGAGACCCTGTCTTAAATACTACAGAGAGAGAGAGAGAGAGAAAACAGAAACCAGGAAGGACATTGCGCAAGCTTCTCAATGACCCTGCTTTTTGGATCTGTCCACATGAATCAACCTCCCCCACACTTATTTTTTTTTTTTATCTGCTTCTTGCAGTTTCAAATTTCTTGCTCAGTTTTATAGTAGCCATCTGTATCAGAGCCTTGGGCTAAAGGAAGGGTTCACTTACTAAAGATTTTCCTTAAAGAACATTTGGTTGTCTAGTGTTTGCTCTAATTCTGTACTTGGAGAAACTGAAGGCTGTGGTTTTATACTGTCACATGTGAATCACAAACAATAAAATGCCTTATCTATTTGTAATACCCACTCTTTAGTGTATTCTTGCTTTTTAAATGTTAGTTCGAAGTTAAATTTTAAGTTATTGTGTTTGATTAGGTTTATTCAATCATGCCTAGTCATTTATTTAACTAGCCGTTGACGAAGTGTGCCCCTGTTTCTACACCTGACTGGCTTTTTCCCTTGTGATTTTTTTGAGAGATTTTCATGTACTCTCACCAGAGAGATAGAGCGACAGAAGGTGAGAAATTACCCCCCCCCCAAAGGAGGATGGCCATGTCCCAATTCCTTCTCCTCCCAGGATTTTGAGCATGCACACACACACGCCTGGTGTGAGTTTGAAGTCGCCAGGTCCGGGACTAGTCGACAGTGTGGGAGTCCAGCGACATAACCATTACAACATCTGCTAGTCCTTTCCTTATGATTTTAGTCTGGTTTGACGCATGCATCTGCCTGCAGCTCTGCTCCAGAGCTGGTGCATATTATTGGGTTTCACTTTATGTTTAAATGAGTCGGCATTACATTGGAAGATAGTTTTGAGCATTTCTGTTAACCCTCTTGAGATATGAGAGGTTTCCGTTCCTGGCTTTCCCCCTTTGCTCAGCAACTAGGCAGATACTGCAAGTAACTTTTTCCAGCATTTTCCTTGTTTTCTGGGGGGAAGTGGAAGGTGTGGACTCTTGCAATAAGTTATTCCTGCAAAAAGGCAGTTCCCTATCCCCAGGCCCCTCGAGTGATCATGTCTGGCCCAATATTCAGCCTCCTCTCACTCCTTGCTGCCGTGTTGTATGTTATACTGGACCCCGCTGCATGCTGTGACTTTATGTGTTACTCAACAGATTGTCTCCCAGTTATTTTTATATAACTGCTCAAGTAGACGCTTGGCATTATGTAGAGTATCTTTTAAGTTTTATTTACAATTGTTCATTTTCAGTGTATAAGAATACTATTATTTTTTGAATATTAACTCTCTATCCTGTGACCTAAACCCACATATTAGCTCTGTTAGTGTTTGTGTGTGTGTGTGTGTGTGTGTGTGTATGTGTGTGTGAATTCTATATTTTTCTTTTCTAATTCCTATGTCTTGTCTTTTTCTTTTCTTATTGCATTAGCTAAGATTTTGAGTACAATGTTAAATATGAGTGGAGAGAACAGATATCATTTCCCCCAGTACTGGGGGGAATGCATTCATTCTTTCACCATTAGAGTAATGTTAGTGGGCCAGCTTCTGGTGTGGTGAGTGGTGTGGCTGGATCCCATATGGTCAACTGCTTGGCTTGTGTCTCAGATCCAGTGACTTGAAAAAGCATGATTGGTGTGTGTGTGTGTGTGTGTGCACACGTATGTGCGCCAAAATCCTGAGAGAAGAATGGAGGAGAAGGGCGGCATGGCCATCCCCCAAGGGATACTTTTCCCCTCTCTCTCTCTCTTTTTCTCTCCCTGTCTCTCTTTGGGGAATGCAATGTCATATAGCAAAATTAAAAAAAATAATAATTTAAGTAACATAAGCTGTAGACTTGCCCAAGGAGATTTAAAATTCCTTAGTAACTGGAACTATTTTTTCTTCTTTGGCATCAAATCTGCTTCACAAGTCAACTTTACGATTTATAACAAAACAACAATTTATAACAACTTGTTATAATTATGTGCTGCAGACTATTGTATTTTGTTTAAAATATCTAGTCTTATCAAGACTAGGACAACAGTAGTGGTAGAAACATTATATACTGTACTAGCTATTTAAAAATTGTGACAACTATAGTGACAAAGTGATAACGCAGTGTTCTGTGATGCCAAAGTCATAGGGGAAGGTCCTGCTTTTACATCCCGAGGTGTCCCTATGAACATCGGGCATGCCCATGATCCTATCTGGCTATAGCTTGTTGGGGAATCGTGGTGTGAATCCCCTGCTGGGTGTACTTCTCTCTCTTCATCTTTCTCTGTCTCTCTCTCACTCTCATGGAAGAAAGAAAAAAAACTCTTAAAAATCAAAAAGAAATAAGAATCACGACAATCAAAACGTAGTCCCACCCTTCGGCAGTGCTGATGTGCAATGACAGCTGAATGTAGTGTCTATCCACGACTAAATGGCCGCCTGATGGCCCTAGGGACCACTTCCATACTGACCACTCTGACAATAACATGAAAGCTATGTCCATCAATTGAGCAATGAGTAAATAATATGTAATATATCCATACACTGGAACATTAGCCACTCGAGAAAAAGGACGAAGTACTACATGGATGAACCTCAAAAACACTATTCTAAGTGAAAAAGACAATTAAAATAAGGCCACATATTATATGGGCTATTTTATATGAAATGTCCAGAATAGACAAATCCATAGAAATAGAAAGTAAATTAGTGACTGCCATGGTGTGGGGAGAGGATGAGACTGGGGATCTTAAGCTAATGGGGTTTCCTTTTGGATAATGAAAATATCCTAATAATAGATTATGGTGATGGACGCTAACTTTGTAGATATACTAGAAAACATTGAATTGTACACTTTAAACAGGTGAATTTTATGGTATGTAAATTATAATCGTAATACATATTTTTAAAAAAAGCACATGAGAGCTATATTAATAGGAATGATGAAGCTGTGTAATGACTAAGCTGGAAAAGTGGGATGAGGGGGCTGCCTCAAGGCAGGTTTTAAAAGGCTGTCTCTGGGCAAGATGGACAGAGGGGACTGCTTCAGGGAGAGGGGAACACTGAGGCTACACAGGGGCAGCTGACTGATGCAGAGTCCTGGGGGCCAGATGCCAACCCTAGTTCAGTAACCACACTGCACTATCAACTGACAGCAGAGTAAGGGTAGGGCACTGTTGAAAGCTGGTGAGTAGAGCCAAAAAGAAGTTACCATTGGGCTAGAAGGTGACATGAAGGTTAAGGCAGCTGAATCTCACATGGCAGAGCATGCAGTTCAAGTCCCACACCCAGCGGCTTGAAAATCACACCAGGAACGTGTATGTGCATGCCAAAAAGTCCCGAGAGAAGAATGGAGGAGACGGATTACAACATGGTCATCCCTCCTGGGTGATGATTTATCATTTCACCCTCCCTTCTCTTCCCCACCTCCATAAGCCCTAGAGCAAAAAAACTAAAATTAAAAAAATAAATTATCATCTAGATAAAAAGATATCAAGAAAACCTTGAACAATTAAGAAAAAAAAATAGACATGATCAACTAGTGCCAAAGAGAAACCAAATGGCTAGAATGAACGAGTAACTCCTATTAACCAGGAAACTAACTCTTTTTTATTTCTTCTTTCTTTTTCAGACTATAGCCTTCATTTCTCCTTGGTGAGTAGAAAACTTTAAAAATTATTTCTGATGCATAGTTAACTAGATAAAAAGAAATGTGTGGGATTTAATTGTTAGAAAAGCATTATCTTCTCGGGAAAGAAGGCCATATGGTCAGCATGTTATATTTGAATTTTATGCTTTAACTTGCTCAAACAGGCTCATATCACACTTTGTTGTATCACTTTTTTTTTTTTTTTGCATCTAAAATTTGGCTCAGTACTGCTTAGTATCTGAAATGTATTGTTGAGAACACAATTGCCACATGCTTTCTTTTCACTGACTTGTCCGTACTTTTAAAAGGGCCTTGCCTTATCTCGGTGGGCCACATTCGATGACTGTTAGGGAACACAGTGGCACATAATTGCATTGATGATAATAGCCTCTTAAATTGATCTGCCGTGGAGAAAACTGCTGAAAAGGAGTTTTTCTGGCTTGTACTCTTAGTAAAAACGGCGTTGTCGTCATGTAATTTTATGCTTGAAGGGGGGAGGTTCCAAGCCAAATTCCATGGCCTTGATATCCTTAGAAAAAGAAGATTTTAAACATCATAGCCTTTTTGTGATCCACTTGTTCACTTAACGCTTTCATGTTTCCTAAAGAAACTGAAGGAAGAGCATCTGGAAGGGGAGCAGCATGTGGGCATGAGCACAGGATATGCTCCTCATGCACTTGCCTTCTCGGAGCACTACGACCTGGTATCTGGGAAGCAGTATTTCTGAAATGCATCACCTTGTTTGAAATACCTTCATTCCAAGACTGGCCCCATAGCCTAGTAGTTAAGGGAGCTGAATCCTACATGGTCATCCAAGGTTTGAATCCCAGCCCCAGCAGCTTGAATGTACATTTAGCATGTGAGCATGCATGATCCAAGTCCTGACAAGATAGAGACATAGAAAAGGGACTGAGGACTGCTTTCTCCCTCCGTTTTTCTCCCTAGTGAGTGGAGTGCACTTACCCTCTACAAATTAAAAATAAATAAATAAATAAATAAATAAATAAATAAATAAATAAA